CAGAAACAATATAGAAGAATATATTTTAGACTTCAAATCTTTAGAAGAAAACGTTAAAAAGGTCCTAATAGTATTTTTAGACAAGAAATGTCTTAAAAAAGACCTATAGTAGGTCTACCAAAGATATCTTAGTCTAAAAATAAGCCTTATAAATCTAAAAAAAAATTACCCGAAAGAAGTCTTCGAATTTAAGACTTAAATATGATTTATGACTTGACTTCAAGTCTTAAAAAAATTTCAAAAATATATTTTAGACAAAAATCCCTTAAGAAAGGATCTTAAATATGTCATAAAAATATATCATACATGGAATATTACTAAAAAGGACCTTCAAGGAGCCTTTCAATAAGTATTTCAAGCTTCAACTAAAAAAAGAAACATTGAGAAAGTCTCAAAAGTATTTTTTAGACTTAAAATGACTAAAAACTACATAAAAGAAATCTTTAAAAAAAGTTTTGGATTGGCAGTTCTTAAACAAGAAAAATCTAATCTACAAGAATCTAAAAGAATGTCTACAAGAACGTCCTAGACCTCGAAGGAGACACCAAGTGATGAAGTTACTAAATCACTCTAAACAGAAGTCCAAATAGGTGACGAAACACAACCGTTTTGTACACTCAGAGAAGAAGAAGAAGCAGTTTTAGAATTTTAAGCCAAAATTATTGTTAAAAAATTGAGTAAAAAAAAAACCATGGAAAATAAATTAGAAAAAATCAATAAAAAAAATTTAAGTACCATACTAACCATACGATTATTTCGTTACTAATCTTTTTCTAGACTCATTTCACTCGGGTCAAATGAATCCGCCCTCGATACAAAGTTCAATGTCCGGCTCCTCGCCGTCCACCAACATGCTGTCGCCGTCATCGCAACACAATCAGCAGGCCTTCTATCAGTACCTAACGCCGCCCAGCCAACACTCTGGCGGTCATACGCCGCAGCATCTTGTCCAGACGCTGGACAGCTATCCCACACCGTCACCGGAATCGCCAGGACACTGGTCATCCTCATCGCCCCGCTCCAATTCGGATTGGAGCGAAGGTGTTCAGTCGCCGGCAGCGAATAATCTGTACATTTCCGGAGGACATCAGGCCAATAAAGGATCCGAGGCCATCTATATTTGACCATAAGAGAGAGAGAGAGATAGAGAGAATGGAGAGAAGGATAAGAAGAAGGACTGGCAAAGGATCTGCACAGATTGCGGCGACAGCAGGAGGGACTCCTAGAGTCCCTACTTCTAAATAGCCTATATATAGCCTATATAATATTTAGTTCTTTAATCTCGCCCTCTATTTTTTTCTTTTATTTTTTTGTAGGCTTTTAAAAAAAAAGAACCTTTTTTTTTTGTATTTTAATTTAATAATTACGCCACGCAATTCCAGCGTAGAAGTTAGAAATTAATTTAAATTATTTGATATGCTTGTTGTAAAATATATATATAAATATTATATATGCCAGTTAAGAGCTTTTGTCTTTTTTTCTTGGCGTAATTTTTTAATAATTTTAAATATTATTTGTCGTAACGTCAACGTAGCTTCCAGATAAATAAATAAAATAAAAAAAAGAAACGAAAAGACATCTAAAATTAGCGCAAATTCCGATTTTAAAAGATAAAAACAAAAACAAACACACATTTTTAATTAAGATTAAGATCACAACCGACAATTATTTTGTGTAGGCCTTTAAGCTTTAGGGATATAAGTTTTTTTTCGATAAAACAAAAATTATATAATCACCTAGTTCTGTAGATTTCGAAACTGAAGTGCTTATATAAAACAAGAAAAAAATATAAAAGAAAATTGTTAGAAACGTACTGCATCAAAACCATTTTTTTTTTTACACAAAAAAGTTTTTTTTTTCTATTATAACTATTATTATTATTATTGTATGACTATTATGTATTATTACATATTATTTAAGCTAAACTGTAAAAAGATTCTCATAAACTGTTTGATTTAAGTTGACAAACACAAACCCCACAACAAATTATACGAAAATCTCCAACGAAAAGCGTATAATTAATAAAGAAAATAATAATATTACAGAAAAACAAAAGAAAAAGAAAGACCGAGTAGATGACCAGCCAAGTTTTTTATATATATAAGAAGATCCTCCACCACCTCCATCTCCCCCATTTATCCCTAAAAGTAATCCCCATTTTAGATCATAAGTCCCAAATGATAATAGATATTTTCAAAAAATATTACAACAAAATAAACAAAAGACGACAAACGAATGCGATTTTCTTGTTCGATGTGCTCTAATTTTAATAATTTTAATTTGAAATGTAATGCTTTCTCGTCTATACAGATTTTGTGTGTAAGTTTTTAATGTGTAAATTGTAAAATTATTTGTTTTCCTAACTTAAAACACGGCAAGACAGCATAACTGAAATGCAAACTTTTTTGACATAAATAATAAATATTAAATAATTATTTTAAAAACAATATGCTGGAGTTTGGTTTTTTTTAGAGGGTGGGTCTTTATTGAAAATAATCGGGGCTTATCGGAATTTTAGGATATGTTGGTTATTAATCGAAATTTTTATATTTTCTTATATATATTTTTTTTGTTATTAATATTCTTTTATATTTTATATATATTTATTTTTCAATTTAATTTTTTTATTTTATAAGTTTAATTTAAGTTATCTCATTCTTAGTAGTTGGTATACCCTTGCAGGGGAAATTCAGAAATCTTTTAAGGTACTCCGCTTGAGAATCGGATGAGAATTGGGGAAGATTAGCCATCCCTGTGGGCCCTATAGGGGAAAATCACATTTTCAAGGGATCAGGAAAAATGGACAAAAAATCTAAAAAATATTTTGTCTCAGGATTTTGATGCAGAATGGTAGCAATTCGATGAAGAAATCGTTTAAGATACTCCGCCTGAGAATCGGATGAGAATTGGGGAAGATATAGCCATCCCTGTGGGCCCTATAGGGGAAAATCCCATTTTCAAGGGATCCCATCAGGAAAAATGAAAAAAAAATTGAAAAAATATTTTGTCTCAGGATTTTGATGCAGAATGGTAGCAATTCGATGTAGAAATCGTTTAAGATACTCCGCTTGAGAATCGGATGAGAATTGGGGAAGATATAGCCATCCCTGTGGGCCCTATAGGGGAAAATCCCATTTTCAAGGGACCCCATCAGGAAAAATGGACAAAAAATCTAAAAAATATTTTGTCTCAGGATTTTGATGCAGAATGGTAGCAATTCAATGTAGAAATCGTTTAAGATACTCCGCTTGAGAATCGGATGAGAATTGGGGAAGATATAGCCATCCCTGTGGGCCCTATAGGGGAAAATCCCATTTTCAAGGGATCCCATCAGGAAAAATGGACAAAAAATCTAAAAAATATTTTGTCTCAGGATTTTGATGCAGAATGGTAGCAATTCGATGTAGAAATCGTTTAAGATACTCCGCTTGAGAATCGGATGAGAATTGGGGAAGATATAGCCATCCCTGTGGGCCCTATAGGGGAAAATTCCATTTTCAAGGGATCCCATCAGGAAAAATGGACAAAAAATTGAAAAAATATTTTGTCTCAGGATTTTGATGCAGAATGGTAGCAATTCGATGAAGAAATCGTTTAAGATACTCCGCTTGAGAATCGGATGAGAATTGGGGAAGATATAGCCATCCCTGTGGGCCCTATAGGGGAAAATCCCATTTTCAAGGGATCCCATCAGGAAAAATGAACAAAAAATTGAACAAATATTTTGTCTCAGGATTTTGATGCAGAATGGTAGCAATTCGTTGAAGAAATCGTTTAAGATACTCTGCTTAAGAATCGGATGAGAATTGGGGAAGATATAGCCATCCCTGTGGGCCCTATAGGGGAAAATCCCATTTTCAAGGGATCCCATCAGGAAAAATGGACAAAAAATTGAAAAAATATTTTGTCTCAGGATTTTGATGCAGAATGGTAGCAATTCGATGAAGAAATCGTTTAAGATACTCCGCTTGAGAATCGGATGAGAATTGGGGAAGATATAGCCATCCCTGTGGGCCCTATAGGGGAAAATCCCATTTTCAAGGGATCCCATCAGGAAAAATGGACAAAAAATTGAAAAAATATTTTGTCTCAGGATTTTGATGCAGAATGGTAGCAATTCGATGAAGAAATCGTTTAAGATACTCCGCTTGAGAATCGGATGAGAATTGGGGAAGATACAGCCATCCCTGTGGGCCCTATAGGGGAAAATCCCATTTTCAAGGGATCCCATCAGGAAAAATGAACAAAAAATTGAAAAAATATTTTGTCTCTGGATTTTGATGCAGAATGGTAGCAATTCGTTGAAGAAATCGTTTAAGATACTCTGCTTGAGAATCGGATGAGAATTGGGGAAGATATAGCCATCCCTGTGGGCCCTATAGGGGAAAATCCCATTTTCAAGGGATCCCGTCATAGTTCAGCATAAAAATAGACAAAAATTTATAGAAATAATATCAAATATTAAATAATAGTGTTATTATGTTATTATTAAATTTTTATTAATATTTGTAACATTTTCAATGATTTTAAATTATTTCGTTTAAAAAATAAAAGTCAGGACTATAATTTAATGGAAAATTTACAAGAAACCTTTCGAAATATGGGTTTTTAAGCGATATCCTTGGAATCTTTCAAGTAAAACAATACCTTATTTAAAGACAGATAGTATTGCATCATTTTTTTTTTTTTTATTTTAATTTTAACCTTTGACCCTCCTTCGAAAAAAAAAATATTTCTAGATACTCTTTAGCAGTCACATTTTTAATTAGAATTAGTTGAATGTTTAAGTGTAACCCGTAACATATAGACCCGTCCTTCATATTGGCCGATCCTTTTTATGCGTTTTTGTGTCTTATTCCGTTCACACAATACGAATAGTGTCCTTGTAGTGTTTCGATAATGTCCTCATGTTATTTTATCCGCAGTCTCCATTGTCTTGATGGTTTAACTCTTTACAACTTGAGGAAGATTGTGTGCTAAAAGAATTTGTAGTTTATTGACTAGATTTGCTTTTTGGTTTCATCTTCCGGGTTGCTTGATGTGGTTGCTGCTGCTGTAGATTCCACACTTTCATGCGGATTCACCGGGCCTGGATTGTCCTCCTGCTGGTCCTCGGGGGCGTTCGAGTCGTTGACCTTTTTCGCACCCGGTACGAAAGGACATACACCGCCCTTGCACTCGAACGGGAATTCGGGCGCCTTCTTAATTACATTCCCGTCCGCGTCCTTTTTCTCCCAGGGATTCCAATATCTTAGGAGAATGGGTTGTACAAATTTGTGCCATATGTACAACAAGAGCGGAATGATAAAACACGGTACACAAACCATTATTCTTTTTTTTGGTGCTTTTTTTGGTGAATTTTAATATATTTTTCTTTTGTTAATTCCGTTGATTGAGCCTAGAATGGTCCGAAATATACTGATCTATATATTGTGAGTTGGGCTGGCCTTTTATACTTTTACCTAGCCCAATGGTCTGATAGTTTTTCCAACGGTGACTTTGTTTTCTTTTGTATTAATTAATATTTTTCTTGGAGCAATTATTGCTGTCAGCTGGCCTACTGAGGTTCCGATAACAGAGCCAACCGTGCGATAGTTGGTCCCACTACTATCGATAGATAACATTAACGGTTAACAGAGATAATATTTTTCTTACATTTTCTTAACCCATTAAAAAATCCTTTGATAAAAAAATGCCTTAACTTTTTTTTGAATTTAATTTTTTTTTATTAATTATCCTTTAATTTTTAACCCATCAGTGGGCAACGGTAGGGTAATCCACCCCGACAACAGTATTCCCTGCCAGCCTGCAGATTGGTATTAACCCATTGGTTGTGACAGTTTTTGATAAACAGATAGGCCCGCTCCTTGTGACAATCGTGGCCCAAAGCGGAGCAGACTATATTGGCGGAGTTGGGCAAGTGCTGGACGATCTGGGAATAGGTAAGTGGAGAAAAGTTTATTATTTTATCGATTAATCGATAACATAAAAAAAACTTAACTTAAAAAAAACATTCAAAAATATTCAAATAGTTGAGGAGACACATTTTATCATTTAAAAGTTTAAGATATCGATAGTTAATCGATAGTTAATCCATTACTGTAGAGTACTCACCGCTTCTAAGCACTTTGTTTGGCACTGTTTCCGACCAATGGCATTGCATGGAAACATCCTGTCCAGCTCCTGGTGAATCAACGGGGCAGTGGGCAAGCCATTCTGGATCTGCGAGGACAGAAAGACACCGCAGGTGCAGGGAACAGGTTGATTATCCTGCGGCTGGACAGATTCAGGAGTCGGTAGTGGCGAAGGAATCGTATTGATCAAGCTACTCGAAGTGGTGGTGCTCATGGGGATAGTACTGGACGCTTCATTGGAGGACTCTGCCTGCGGCGGTACTCCCACCTCCTCTCCAGAAGATTCTCCTTCGGTCTTTGTGGATCCTGTTTCCGGAGTTGAACTAAAAATTTCCGTTGTACTTCCATTCCTACCAAGCCATTCGGTAGTGCTATCGAGGATAGCTTTGGGTGTGGTTACAATCACAAACTCTACAGGAGCAGCTGCTGGCCAGTTTTCTTCGGTGGTGCTAGTGGTTGTGGTGCTAGTGGAAGTGCTCGTAGACGTGGTGCTGGAGGTAGTGGTTCCTTCCTTGATGGGTTTGCTTTTCAATCGCTTGTCCTTGATGAAGTTGGTCTTGCCGTAAAGTGGTTTCTTGTAGGCGATTTTCGAGGCCTCCAGATGAAGGGCCAAGAGTATTACCACAAATAGGAGAGTGTTTTTAAAGGTAGCTTAGGCGGGGAAATATTTTTTACAAAAATATATATAGAGTTTAATATTTTATTAAATATTTTTAAGGTTATTTTTTTGTGAGTTTATCCTCAACTGCAACTCACCCATCTTGTGATATCTCTGATAAACTAATTACTTTCGCTCTTTGGCTCAAGCATTTTATAAATAATTTTCACTTGACTTGCAGTTTTTTTTTAGGCCTTGTTAAGTTTCTTTTTTTTTTTTTTTAAGACCCGAAACGACCATCAATGAAGTTCAAGTTGTGAGAACTCGGTCAGGGCTCTTGCCGATCAAGCAAAATATTGCCTCTAGACAAGCTTATTTTGCAATTCATTCATTTTATATTAACTATTTACATTAGGGCGGAAATTTTATTTAAAGTTTTATTTAAATAGTTGCTTAAAATGCCTTTGAATATATATTTCAATTTTCAGACCGATACCTTACTTCGTTAAAAAGTTACAGACCCATTTCTCCTTCTTTCTAATATGAGCCTCAGTACATGGCTAGTTTATAACTCATTTTGTCGAAATTAAAAAAAATTATAAAATTTGTTGTAAAAAGATGAATCAGAATTGACTCCAACATAATTGGAAAATGCGTAGGTTTTTTTTTAATTCATTAAAATGCCTTAAATACCTCGAAATACCTTATGTACCTCATAGGGAAATCTTTAAGCTTCACGGCGTGAGCCCTAGCTCCTAAATTCCTAAATTCATTTTATACACATGGTTTAATGGTGAAAATTTCTTAGAATTCATCCGATCTTAGAATTCCGATTTGATAGAATTGACCCGCCCTAATGTTCATAGTACTCCCAACCTTTTGATATTTTTAAATATTTTTATTTGATTTTATATTATAATTATAATTATTATAATCCTTAAGAATATCTATTTTTTTTTATTATTTATAATAGCCTGCAAAATTTTATTGCGAAACTGTTTTCGGTGATGGGGATCCGAAATGGATTCCATTTCATCTTTCACAAGCTCTCCCAGGGCATCGACCCCGGGGGAGTATTTTCCGCGCTTTGAACGCTCCTCCTTAGGGACAGGAGGAACGGGATGCTCCGAAACCAAAATTACATCCTCATCAGAATCAGAGTTCTACAATTAGTTAGGTTTTTGTACAAAAAAAAAAATAATAGAGAAATAGAAACACTAACCGGATTGTTTTCCTTGACATCAGTTCTCTCCTCCGACTTAAATCTTTTGGCACTGCCGCCCGGTTGTTGATCATCCTCTTTCGATTCCATTTTCGTGTCTGAGAAGTAACGTTTCAGATATGACATATCGTCATACCAATAAGGAAGATGCGATTTCACGTCCATATATGTATTCAATATTTCCAATCTCTGTTTCCAATCATCAAATTCCTGGCTCAGCTTGTTGTATTTGATCATGATGTCCGTCACAGTAAGCTGGGGGCACATCGGCAACAGTTTCTTTAGGATCCTTTGGAATGATTGACAGCGATTGACTCTAAGATTGTAGATGATAGCTCGGGGATTGATGTTCTCTTTTAGCAATTGCAGCATTTTTTTCACCAAATTCTCAGTCCATTCAATATTCTGATAATTAAAAATAACACATATAGACAAAATATGCAAGAAAAAAATAAATAAAATAAAAAATTACCCCAATAGAGGACGACATCCTTATTTTTTCGTTTTCTTGCTTCCGTACAGTCGAGAGAAAATTATTTTTTGACGTTTGAATTTTGTTGACAAGTTTCGCAAAGGTTACTGAGTGAACGTTTAACCGATATATCGATATACCTATCGGCGATTAACATTTTGTTTGAAATTTGAACAAAAACTTACAATAGCAAGCCATTATTTCATGTTCAATATTTTTTTTTTTTTTTAAACGAAATCATGTTTGGATATTCGTATAAAAATTAAATTAAATTTTTGTGTTTAAATGAAAATTAAATGTTGAATTAACAGCGCTCTGGTATAACAGTGCGCCCAACAGCACCGTGGCGGTGCTGTGCCGGTTGGCATGGTGAGTTCGAACGAACGCCAGTGCGTGTGGTGGATAAGTCAAATGCCGGAGCAAAACACAAACAACAAGTTGTATAAATGTGAAAATACATTAAAAGTTTCTCTGAAATTGAACGCTGATAATTACGCCTGATAAACTCCCCGATGGCCGATAAGCGTCGGCTAAGAACATCATAAACCCACCCGGCAATTAAATACCAACCGATAAGATCGAGGCCCAAAATCGGTTGGAGGAACCTAACACTGCACCACTTTCGTGGCGACTTCTCATCTTTGGCGGAACAGAAGACCAGAACAAAAATAAAGGATTAATAATGCCGGAATTTGTATCAGCACGCGGCTTCAGTGAGATGGAGAAACTCCTGAAACAGTACGAGAATCAAAGGGATCCCATATATATATACCTATTTGGAGAAAAGGACAAGCAAGGGCGCTCCTGGTGTCCCGATTGTGTGGAAGGTGAGTTTGTGCTCCTCCAGAGTCCCGTTACAGAGGGGCACAGTGGGTGTGTAAACTAAATTTTTCCACACAAAATATATAATTATTATTTATGATTTTTTATTTAAAATATTTTATTAAAAAAATCATAAACAATTTATAAATTATAAAAATAATCCAATGAATTATTTTTTTAGCCGAAGAGACCATACAGACTGCCTTCCGTACCAATGCCCCGGAAGAATCCCTGATCCTGGTCGTGGATGTGGGCAATCGGGAGTCGTGGATGAATGTCAAGGATAACAATTTCCGGAAACCACCGTACAAAGTCGATGGCATTCCAGCCTTATTACACTGGAAGGGCGTCGAACGCCTCGATGGCGATCAGTTAACCAAAAAGACGCTCCTAGAGCTATTCTTCGAGGAGACAGATCCGAAAAATAACTGAAATTACACTCGAAATAAATTCCGGCTTGAGTGAAACTCAAAATCCAGCTTTTGCCACAGGGGGGAAGCAACTAATTTACAAAAAAAAAAAAGGATTCAAAAGAATCTTTAAGTATGTAATTTTTGTTGATTTATTTATTTTATTTTTTTGGTAGTTTTAGTTAAGAAAATGGATGTTTTAAGCAATTTTAATATTAAGTTTTTAATTGCTTAAAATCTTTCACAAAATTATACTTTAAAAAATTATATTCCTTTTTCAAAAAGTTGGAATATATTTATTGAAGTTTTTTAAGTATTTATTAATTTTATGGATTTTATTTATGTTTTTTTCACATTTTTTATGGTTTGTTATAATTATTTATTAGCTTTTGATTTCCTTTTTGTTTTTATTTTTTTATTTCATTAAATTAAATTTATTTTTTTTTAAATTTCAATATATTTGAAAGAACTTTTAAAAGAAATCATTGCTGTGAATATATTTTAAAAAATCAAACAAAAGAATTATGAGAAAATTTCTTAAAAAAATAGAAAAGACAATATTTCCTACCTATTTATGGAATTAACATAAATGTAAGAATATTTTTAAAACTTAATGAAACAGACAATAATAATTGAAACTGAAATTGAATTGAAATATCAATTGATAATTGATATTTCTTGTATTGAAACTTATTTGAAATATTATATTTTTGAAAAAAAGACGATTTTAATGTTGAAAATTAATAAAAATTAAACAATAAAAATAAAAAGGAAATACTAAGGCTATTTAGATATTTAACAAATATTTAAAGACTTAAGCTTGGAAAACTTAAATACCTTGAGCCTAAATTTAAAACTCGCTCCCAAAATCGACACTCTCTTTTTTTGAAAATGAGTGAAATTCACACAAAAACCACTCTCGAAAATGCCGGTTCAAACTTTGAGTTTTCACTCAAGGGGCTTTCCTTTATTCCTGCGCTCCACTCAACGGGGGTAGGGGTTATTATGGGGTGGAGGGTGGTGTTCTTTGAGCGCCGGAGCCGAGGGGCTTCGGCCGGCATCGGGCGTTCCGGCATCATCGGCATTTTGGCCGATTTACCGTTTTGGTTTTTCGTATTCGATTATTTGCACGCATGTCGTCGAGCAGGACTAACGGTAAACGGCAAAGCTAGCGGGACTTACGGGAGTTCGCACGGTCTAACGGTAAACATACGCGGCCATCGCCATCTCGCTCGCACGCCAGAAAGCCGCGTCTTTCTATAAAATTTCATAAATCTATTACTTTTTTTTGCCAGTGTTTTTTAAGAAAAACAAATTCTAAAAAAATTAAAACTAAAAAAAAAGTGGGTTATTTTAAAATAATAAAATATAAATAAACAAAGCAAACACACGCTTAAAGAGATAAAAAAAAAACACGAAAATATATAAAGAGAGAGCCTTTCGAAAAAAGCCCTGTTGCTTCCAAAGACTGTTGCTTAGCCGGCAATTTATTTGTTATTTTTTTTTATTATTCTTCGGTTATTCAGACCTTAATAATAAAAAAAAGAAAAAATTAATGTTTATGAAAAAAATAAAGATAGAGCTATTTGTTAGAGAGAGAACGCGATCCACTTGGCGGAATAGTGTTAATAAAAAATGCGATGCGAACCAGTCGAAGCGAATGGGTAAAATGAAAAAGTAAAATACAAATAAATTAAATTAAATTGACATTCGTTGATCGAAATTGTTGAAGAGCAAAACAGAGAAAGAGATGGCTTTATTAAGAAGAATCTGCCAGAGAAAAAAAGAAATATATATTTATGAAGGTTATCCAGATGTTAATATTTCATCAGAAATTGAATGAGAAGGCGAATAAAAGAGGATTATTTATGGAGTTTGTTAAATGAATGATAAAATAAATTAAAATTTACAGAATAATATATTTTATAATCAAATTATATTGAAGAAAACTACATAAGATTTAATGGAAACACTTTTTCAAATAATATTATTTTTTTAATGTTGGTTTTTAATTTATTTTGTTTTTTTTTTGGGCTAAAAGAAAGGTTTTTGAGCTATTTTTAAAGGAAACTATATAAGATTAAAGGCATTTAGGATACAATTATTTCTTAAAGATTCTTTATAAATATAAATACTCAAACTTTAAATTCAAAATCATAAGAAATATAAATCCTATATATTTACATTTTTCAAGAATACAATTTTGACCCTGGCAAGAAATTTTTGAAAAATATAATGAGCAGTCAAAAAGCATTGGAAATTTATAATAAACGAAAATCAAATTTAAATTTTTATGTCTTATTTCTGTTTTGATTTCTAGCCATCGCTGTTGTTGTTGCTGTTATTGCTGTTATTGTGTCAATTAAAAAGCCAAAAAATTCTTAATGAGGCACGTAACAAGCTAGACAGCTGATCCCCCTTGATGGGGCGCCCCTCTTTCGTTTTTCTTTCAAACCAAAATCAGCCAAATGTCATTAAAGTCAGATCGTAAAAATCTGAAAACAAAAATTGCACATAAATTAAAAAAAAAATTATATAGAATTTTTATATAGAGTGTATGTATAGATTTCTATATAGATCGGTGGATTAGGCGCTTATCCTAAATCTTTTAACACCATTAATTTTTATTTATTTTTGTTTTTGGGTTTCCATGCACCTGCAAATACCGAAAAGCATAATTTATTTATAGAGAGAGAGAGCGAGAATGTGGAGAAGAAATATATATATGTATATATCTCTATACCTTTCGATCCTCTCCGATTTATTATTATTATTTTATTTTAGCTTTTTTTTTATATTTAATTGACGCATTTAGTCTATAACAACGTCTAGCGCATATATCATCGATATGTGGAAATTATATCTATAATGATATAGGCTGATGTATATCTATAGACGTGTGCACATATTTTATATCTGCTGGTATATGTATATACGCGGGTCAAACCTCTGCACATATATCTGTCTTTATAGAATTTTTATACGCAAATCGAAATCAGAAATAAAAAAATAATACAAATAATGTGAAATATATGCGAAAATCCAATCAAATGTCACACTGAATTCAATTTCACAATTTCAAGAAGATAAAGGAACAAAAAATTCAAAGAGAAAAGAAAAAAAAACAAAATGAACAAGCATTTAGGAAATATATTTTCGATAATTTGCTTAGAATTTATGAAATCGAATATTCGGCAGGTTCTTGCCATAATTTAGGTTTTAGTTTTTCGAAGGTCTATACTTTGTTTTGTGTAATAAATTATTTAAAAAGATTATCTTAATACATCCAGGCGTTTGGTTTTATTCACGATTTTATTCGTAAAATTTATTCTTCTAAAAATAACAAAAAAGAAAAGTAAGCCTGTGTAATTTATTGGGTACTTTACGGTTTTAGGGTTGTAATAAAAATATATTAAAAATATTTTTCAAAGCTTTTAAACTATTTTATGGTTTTAAAAAGAATCATCAACTCTTACGATTTTTATTGACATGTTAAAATGTATAAAGGAAAAGGAATTAAACATTTAGTTTTTATGAAATAAACGTATAAAATGTATTTATTGACTTTTTATTAGGTTCGTGGTCTATAGCTATAGCTTAGATTTATGGAAGAAATTAAGGAATATATAAAGTATTTCAAGTTTTATGGTTTTTTTATGTGCTTATAATCAGAATAGTCTATAAAAATATCGATAGTATATCAACCAATATCTGTTGATGGTTTAAAAGTAACCGACGTTTTATTTAAATACAAATCATTATTTTAAAAAGTCTTGGTACTAAAACATATATATTCTATTTGATGATCATAGAATTATTGTTATTAATTACAAAAACTATCGATTAAACCGATAAACCTATCGATGTATTCTATTATCCTAAACCAGAAACAGTTTAAAATTAAAGTAAAAAGCAAGAAAAAGATAAAAATGGCTTTGATAATAAAAGGAATATATCTTCTACTTACCTCCCATCGAGTATTAAATAAATATGAAAACCATTGATACAATCGATAAATCTTTGCTTTTCCGATTAACTCTGTAATTTACTTTAATTTAGAAATAAATTTCTACAGCTTTAAATTTCTATTTAATTTATTTCCAACTCCAATTGAGTAACTGACCTTCCATGACCTGATTTTGAAATTTCCAAACATCGCAAGTCGGAAAAGAGAAAATAATTTCATATGAGAATCTTATCGAAATGCTCCCAATTTGTTAATGGGCAGCGCCATGGGCATTAAAACTGACCGATTTCTGAAGCGATTGCTATAAATTACCATGCCCAAGATGAGGGGTACATAGTAGAGTGCGGGTGGAGAGTAGGCTGTTGGGGGTGATGGGTGTATAATTCTTATCAGAATATGCAGAAGTTCCAACTGATAGGGTGCCGGGGCAAACAAAAACCGAAAAACAAAACAAAAACAGAAACCAAACGAACAAGACGAAAGTCAAACAAACAGCAAAAAAATAACAAAAATTTCAGTGTTTTTTTTTTCATGGCAATGTTGCTAATGACGACACTAAACAGGGACGGTCGTTGAAAGGGAGGCTTTTATAAGAGGGGTCTTGGAGGGGAGATTACTAAGGAAAACTATTTGAAAATCGTTAACAACGTCAATGGCAACAAATATGCAAAAAAAAATTGTCAGAAAAATAGCCATAAAAAATCGAGTTCTTTAAAAAGTATTATAAAATAGTTTAGTTTTCCTTCTTACCCTTTGATTTATATTTATTTCTTAATTTATTTAATCTTTATTTATTGAATTTTGTCAATAACTTGAGTCTTATTTAAAACTTTAATTCCTTAATTTATTTGCTTTATCATTTTATTACATTTCACTTAATGCCACTTAATATCTGTTGGATCGTTGTGCACCAAGTTTGTGTTTAGACAATTGATAAGATATCGGGAATACATATTTATTTAATTTGTATGGCTAGAGGATAGGGCATATTGGTTTTGGAATACAGTTGATTAAGTTAATGGGTTATTTTAGATTAGTTTTATTTTTATATTTAATAAATATATTATTACTATATTTATTTTTCTGTAAAAATACAAAATTTCATCAGAGTTTATTCTTTGGGATAACATCACTGGATGACATATTTTGGAACATCTCTCTTTTATATACTTATATTTTTTTATATGCCATATAACTTTCATATAACTTCCCTATTTTTGCTATTTATTTTGGGCCTATTTTGTATTTTTTTGGAGGTACCCCCCCATTACCAAAACCGCTCTACATACATCCACCCCCCTCACGGCTGCGTCACCATAACCATCGACGTCGGCTTTGTTGACGTTGGCCTGACACTTTCCGATTCCGACTATATCCGACATACGACTTTCCGACTTTCCGATTTCCCCTTCCGAGGCATCAACGTTCCGAGGTTCCGATGTTCCGATGTCCGAGGTTCCCTATTTTTGTTTTTTTTTTTTCTACTTTTCTAGAGAGAGAGGGGGCGTGTGATGGGGTGGTAGAGGGGGCCAGCCCGATGTCTGTGGGAATCTCGGGCTTGGGATTCAGTCGGTGACCGCAGCCGGTTCGGTTCTGTTCGATTTTTTCGAGGGTCGGCGTTTTGTTTTTGGGGTTTGGGTTGGGAAGTCTACATACCCACGTATCCGAACCGGCATATTCCGCGAATTCTGATCGGGAATCGTATTCCAATTGGCAGCGGTTTCGATTTCAAATTCGATTTGCGATTCCGTTTGTTAACTGTTTATTTTGCTGCTGGCGGCACTCGTTCGATTTTAATTGCAATTATAATAAGTAATGCCAACCAATGGCAATACTAATAAAAACAATAAACAATAAACCATAACAATAATAATAATAATAACAACGATTGCGACAACAGAGGCAGGCCATAAACAAATTTATTTTCTCATTCCCAAGATCGTTGCACTGAAAGAAAAATATTGAATGTTTTTTAAAGATTTTATTTTGTATAGAAATTCAAGTTTTAAATAAAAATATGAGCTCCGAAGAACTGAAGGATTTTAAAGGCTTTTAGATTTATTTTTATAAATTTATTAAGCTAATTTATTAAGCTAGTGAATATTTTTTAAAGTTTTGAAATATTTTTTGAAGTTCTCCAACTATTTTTTATTAAAAATCTAATATTTTTCTAATCTTTCAAATTTTATTCTTATTTTTTAAATATTTCAACTCCTTCAAATATTGTTTAAAATTATTCTAAATTTTAGTATTTTGAAATATAGTATTTTTTAGTACCAAAATATTAGGATTTTGTAGGAAAAACTGTTAGAAACTTTTTCAAAAAATTTTAAAATTTAAAACTTTTAAACCAAATATAATGTTTAATCAAATAAAAATAATATTCGAACCCAATTTTCCCCAGTGCATAATAGAGATAGAGACAGAGCTAGAATCATTAGAACGAGATGGATGAGTGCAATAAAATCAAATGAGAAAAAAGCTCGTGATTGTGATCATCATTGAACATCCACGAATAATGACAATCAAGATCGAAAATCGATCAAGCAATCGTCGGAAAATTGTTTGCCCTGCTAAATGGTTTCGTCTATATGTTGATTTAGGTGCGGCATGTGACTCTCTATTCAGTTCAATTTGGGTTAAGAAAAAATACAAAAACAAAAAACTAATTTTTCATTTAAAATGAAAAAACTTTGCGATCTGTTTGGGATATCTTATCATTTGGTCATCTTTTGATAGTGTGTTATCTAGTAACAAGGTTCCCATAACGATCATTAGATGATTTTTATCTTCCATTGGTTGGAGGAGGCTGATAACAATTGAATTGGGTTGTCTGGGAAAAGTCTGAAAAAGTACTATATAATACTATAATAATAACTATACTTTTTTTTTTAAGTAGTTAGTTCGTTTTTTTTAATGAGACCACTTAGGTTGGATGATTCAGGTAGTTCCCCTCTCGAGTTAATCATTCAATTATGGCCGTTTGTTTGCCTAAATAGTTAGAGCTTCTTGATTGATTATTATTTGATCAATGAACTTGAATAAATGTCAATATTTGGACTAGAATACGTTGTTGATTCTTCAAAAGATGTTTTCAATGATTTCTCGATGACTGATCAATTGATCTTTTCTGGTTTTTGATTTTTGATCTCTTGATTTGTTTGTTATTTTCTTTTGATTTCCTGGGATGGTTTTTTTTGGTTTATTGGTTATTTTTTTACTTGAAAGGAAATGTATATTTTTGTTAATAAATTTAAGGTTTTTTTTTGAGAGATTTTAAGGGAAGATTTCTGGAGAATTTTTGGGGTTTCTGGGGAAGTTTTATGGAAATTTTGGATAGAATTTAATGGAATTTTTGGGCTTCTTTTAAAAGTTGAGTGTTGAATAGATTTTTTTGATGAAAAGCTTGTCCAGAATTTTTTTTTAATTTTTGGAGAATTTTTTAAAGCTCACTCATTTTTTTTTAAATATATTTTTGATTAAGCTTAAATAATTTTTTAATAAAAAAGATTTTTGAAATATTTCTTAGTCTTATTTAGTACAAAATTTCAAGCAAGTTTCTCATAATTTATTTAATATTTTTTTAGCTTAGTTTCTTAGATTCTTTTTTGAAAATTCCAAATTCAAAAATCATATTTTTAGTTTTCTTTATATTTTTCACTTAATTTCCTGCAATCTTCTCTGCACAAATATTTTCATGATTTTCATGCATATATATGTGTATACATTTGTATACCCACTCGTATATATTCGTTTGCGTTTTTTTTCTTCATTTTCATCTTTTTCAATTTTATTATGAGTTTTTTGCGTGTGCGATTAAAATCGCGTTGTGTCGCTATCTTTATATATACCCGTCTCGCTCTTAAATCGTGCTCGCATTATTTTCTATTTCCAATTCAGTTGCCATCAGAGAGACCGGAGGCTGTTCATATAATTTTTCCGATTTCAGTTTTTCAGTTCAGTTTTCGGTTTCAGTTGATTTTGGCGCGTTGTGCTTGAGCGATCATTGCGGGCGACGGCAGTTCGGAAAACCGTCGGCGAAACGCATGTAAAACGCTATTAAAACGCGTTGAATTTTTTAATCTTTTTAATAAAAAGTGTCTTAAATTAGTAAATTTAGTAAAAAAAGTCCATAAGAAAAAAAAGTAGTGAACAAAAATTAAAGTTTAAAAAAAAAAAAAAAGTCTAAAAAACTGATAAGCTCTATCTCTCTCGCACTTTATCTGTAAAGCGTGTGTGTGTTTATATATATATAAACATATATATATATATACAAAATATATCTATATATGTATATATTTTAAAATATTATAAAAATTAAAAAATATAAAAATATAATAATTTTTGTTTTATAATTTACAGTACACTTTTCCTATAAAAGCAAAATAAATAACTTTATTTGAAAATTTTTACTCTTGTGGCTGAAAACCAAAAAAAAACCAACAAATTACCTTAAAAAAAATTCAAAAAATTGACAAATATTTTTTAGTGTTTTCTATTTTTTTTGTACATTTTTTTTACTGTGAATTGTTAATCAGAAATCGGGAATTTCTGCGATAACTCGACGGAAGCTGATAAAAAAATAAAAACAAAAATTAAAAAATAAACGTCATCATAGCGGGAGAGTAAGAAGAAGCATAACGTCGAGCTTCAAAGGAAGAAGCAGAAAAAAATCTCCAATTTTGAGTTTCATCTCAAGGAATATATATATATATATATATTTGAAGACTTGAAGGTTTGAGGTGAGTTTTTGAGTGTAAAATGTAATAGGGTTTTAGAGAGCGACGTCTGCGCAGAGTGACCGCTAGAAGGGGCGGTCGTGGCCAAGAGGGGCGAGGCTGGGGGGCTGGGGGCGCCAGTTAACTGCCAAAAGAGCAAAAAAGCGGAAAAGAGACGAAACAACAACAAATGCACACCGCAGAAGAAGAACAAGCTGCAAAACCAACAGGAGCAGCAGCAGCACCACCATTACCAGTGTGCTAGCTGGAAAATCATAAAAAAAATACAAAAAAAACACAAATAACAACAAATATTGAGACAAAAAAAAAAAAAAAAAAACGAAATAAACGCGGAAAATCCTAAAAAAGGCAGTTGACAATTTCCGCAGCCGGAGAACAGCAGGCATGCTGGAGAAGCCTCCGGGAAAGCCTACAAATTATAAAAATTTAATAATACAAAATAAATATAAAATAAATTGAAATAATCATGAAAAATATCAAGCAATAATCACAAGCAATATTTACAAAAAAAAGCAAATATTTTTTTTTACAAAACCATTTTTTTTCTTGTTGTGCCAAAAAAATAAAATTAAAAGAAAAAAATATTACAAAAATAAAGTGTTCAGTGAAAAAATAAAAAAGAAAAAGCCAAAAATTATAAGAAATATAAATAAAATAATCAACAAAACATAAAGTGTTCCATTTAAAATATAAACAAAAACAAATTAAAATTAAAGTGTTGAAATTTATTTGTTGTTTATTTATTTAATTTTTGTTTAAAAAACAAAAACAAACAACACAAACGGAAAACATTTTTTTGCAAGCGGCATTTTGTACACTGAGAGAAAAAAAGCTGTGGAGAACGTGGAGACAAAAGGTAAGTGACCTTCTCTGAAACTAGCAACCCCCCCTTCTGAAACACAACAACAACAAACTCCCAAAAAACAAAAACAAACCGTGAAGCAATTAAAAATTCTCATCTCAGTTAACTTCCTCCATACAAAACAAAAAGGGAAAATGTTTTGGAAAAATTTCTGTTGCCTACTTTAAGGCGTTTAAAGGGGTAACCGAAAAAAAATACCATTGGCTGAGGGTGAGGGAGGGCGAGGTAGAAGGGTCTCTCCTAAACAAAAAGAAGGCCAGAGGCTGGTCACTGTCGGCAAACATTTTCTAGTTTTTTTTTTTTTTGGTTTTGTGCGGCTGCTGCCTTATTTTTATTGAATTTTATATTTCGCTCTCTAGAAGAGCGCCTGCGTTGAGAGAAAGTGAGAGAGAGTCAGGGAGAGAGTAAGTCCATTACTCAACATTGAGTTTATTTTTGTCCCCCGGAGAATTCTCTAAGGCTAAGGATGTTGCAGGAGTTGTTACCCAAAACACGCACATGGCCTCTCCAAGGAGATGAAAGCATCGCCAAAGGGAGAAAGTTTCTCAGAGAGAAAGTCTTACGCAGAGAGTGGTAGAGAGAGTGAGTGAAAGGATTTCTGAGAGAGCACGTTGAGCTTAATTTGAGCTTGAGTTTTCGAAAAAGAGTGAGGTTTTAGAGGACAGTGGCTATGATTTTTGAAAAATATTTTTTTTTGAAAAATTAAATAATAAAAAACAAAAAAATTTTTGAAATTTTAAGAAACTTTTTTTTCATTGCTTTTAAAATTGTGCTTTATTTTTTTCAAATTTATTATATTATATATTATTTAAAATTAGTTATTTAAATTAACTCTATTATCACAGAAACAAATTTCTAATTTTTAATTTTTTTCAAAGATATTTTAAGATTGTTAAGATAAAAAAATTAGGAATTTTAATAACCTTTTTCTTTTTCTTTAGTTGGTTAAAAATAGTATATTTTTTAATCAAAACTTACTTAAAATGAGTTAAGTTGCAAGCTACAATTTTGAGTGGACTTTTGAGCCCGAATTAAAGTCTCTTTTTCGAGTGACTCCTTTTTGGGGTGAGGCTGTCTCCTTGAGTGAGTTTCTTTTTTGCCGATTTTGAGTCGTTTTTGTGCAGACTTTTGGGTTCATGGCCCAAAACACAAATACAGAGACACGTAACCAAAGAGGCAGCTTTTTTAGCCATGGATTCCTGCCGCATCGCATTTGTATCTGCAGGGTCCAAAAAAATGAAGGCACAAAAAAAAAAAAAAAAAAAACGCCAGGGCTCCACACCCCTCCCTTTCTCTTTGTGTTACTTAACTAAGGTTCCTGGTGGCATCGTTTTCAGTTTCGTCCGAAACATTTTTTCTCATTGGTTTTTGGCGTTTTTTTTTTTACGCTACTGTCTTCTCTACGGCGCTATATCCTTTTCTACTTTTTTTCCTGGCGTCTTTCTACGTCATTTTTCTCCATTCTTTTGGGCCATTCTTTGTTGCGTCTTTTTTTGGGTGCTACTTCCGCTACTGAAGCAACAACAAATTGGCGCCATTAGTGAAATTGTAATCAAGGCATTAGCATATATATATATATTCTCCTTCTTTTCTTTACTTTCTCTGGAATATATTCTCTGGAATACATACGTGTGTGTTGTTTACTCAAGCCGGAAGTATCCTTTCAAGGATATTTGTTCGGCCCCAGCAAGATGGTAGCGAGATTGAGATTCTTTCGACCAATTCACATTGGCAAGGTCATTCACTTGATGGTCGAAAATTTGTTGGCCATTTTTTTTAGGGAAGCCCCTTTCTTTTTTTAGCTGAATTTATAGGGGTTTTTGTTTTATAAATAATAGATAAAGACTGATTGTTATTTTATTAATTAAAAACTGTTGAAAAAGGGAAGAAATCTTTAGATTAGAAGCTAAATAATCTTTAGGTATCAATTGGAAAAATTTTTTAAAACTTCGTCCTCTACATATTTTATCTTTTTAAAAAATGCCCTGAAAAGTAGGCTACAAAAATGCATGTTTCTCTTGGAAGTACCGTGTATTTGTAGGGGAATCCCATGATGAGTTTCAAAACGTATGCATTTTTTTGAAAACCGGTTATTTTTCTGACTAAAATATTTTCTAAAGCCGTAAAATTTTTAAAAGTTATTTTTTATATATCATAGAATTTTTTAAAATTTATCTTTATTGCATTTTTTTTTTGTTATTATTTCTTTAATATTATTAAATAAGCTACTCAATAATGTTAAAATAACTATATAAATTTTCTTTATTTTTTTAATATTATATATATTTTTTTTTCATTTTTTTTTATACAACATTATTATTTACAAATTTTTAATTTATGAAACCTTTACAAGCTATTTAAATAGCCATTACGTGTTGTTTTTATTAAAAATTAAATTTTATTTAATTTTAAATGGCTGTTTAACAACTACGTATAATTCTTTATTATTTCTAATATTATATGAACTTGAAAGCTTTTTTTTCTAAAAATTCAATTTAAAAGATTTTAAAAAGGAAATCCCTAAAAAGGAGTCGAACTTTCCCCAGGGAAGCCACTTTTCCAAACCCTTTTCTTGGGTTTCCTTCCACTCTCTTTTTTTTTTTGGATAACCCTCGATTATATCAAACAAAACCCCATAATAACACTCATTAGGGACACACATTTTAAAGTTGAATCGACAACAATTTGGCCTTCATTTATTTATCTATTTCTCCTTTTTTTTTCTTTGCTCGTTCAATCAACACAAATCGCTGGAAAACAAACCCCCTAGAACGGAATGAAAAAAGATTTCCAAATAGAAAACATTGTCAAATAGTGTAAAGCAAATGTTTTTTTTTCTATTAGGTGACCAAAGAGCATGCCACAACATACACACATCCATATATTGGGGAAAAAAAAAACAAAAAAAAAAACGAAAAAAATTTGAAGGAAAAAAGATAGTCTAACCACCGACAGGGGGCGCCACTAATGAGGCCCTTGGGGAACATATTAAACTTCAGACCGAAGAGAAAAACCAAACACACACGAACACACACATGTTGTTATTTTTGTTACCATGCAAAAGCAGTAACTTTTGGCCAGGGGTATGTGGGGGAAAAAGGGGGGGCGGTTCAAAATGTTGCCAAAACGGAACACATTTTCTTTGGAACTCGAGCAACTTTTTAATTTAAAAAACAAACAAGAAAAGGGAATAAAGTTCTAGGATGCGACTATTAGTACCCGGTACTTCTAGGGGAAATATAATTTTTTGTAGCCTACTTTAGAGGGTTTGAATAATTTGCATAATAGATTTTGAATAATTTTAAACTAAATTGAAGAATATAAATTTTAGTAATTTGTATAATACTTAAAGTCAAGAAAAAAAATATCAAAAATATATAAAACTAAGCAGACCTTTGTTTTAATTTTAAAATAAAATAAAATATATATAAAAAATCTTCCAACTCTTTAAAAACTTTCTCCCTCATTTATGTTTCTCTTTGTGTCTATTTATTTAAAATTCTGCCTTTCGGCAAAGACAAATCACAGCAGGTTCGACCCCGTATCTTAAAACAAAACAAAAAAAAAAATAAAATAAAAAAAAGAAAGCGTCGAAAAACTTTGACGCTCAACTGACTCACAAAATTAAAGTAATAATAACTTTTTTTTCACCTCCCCTGCTGCTACAAAAAATCTGTAACTTTTATATGTTCCCTTTATTTTTCTTTTTTGTTTTTTCTTTTTCTACTTTCCACTTTTCTCATCTTCATCATTTTCATTTGTTTTCCGGCCCTGGTCGTAAAGTTTTTGGGGGAAAAGAATGACTTTTCGCCTGCCAATGGAATGGAATTTTAGAAAAATTATGCATTTCAATATTTTTTTAAATGTCTACGATAGTTTCAAAAATATGTCTGACATGTTTAAACATGTTTGAAATTTATAAATCTACTATTTTGTTGCATACTTCTTGGAAAAAGTTGAAAATCCTTTTTGAAAAGAAGCGCGCTTAAAAACGCTCTCACGTCTTGACTGCGTTTTTTTTTGTTTGTTTGTTTTTGTTGGCTTCTTTTGCGACAAAACAAACAAAACAACAAAAACAAAACGGGAAAACCAAGGAACAGCTGCAAACACCAGCGGCAAAGTCAAAGTTGAGAGTGGCCCAAAGTAATATTAATGGGCATGGCAGTTCATTGTTTAAATTTCCGCCTCGGCCCAGGACTTAACTTGGCCCCCCAAAAACCAGCCATAGAATTTGTGCCCTTGGCTTATTAGTGGAAAGTGCAGGAGGAAAGTGCCTAGCCAGGACTTGCCTAACCACCTCTCTTACTCCATAGCTTTCCTAAAAAAGGAGAAAGGGCAGTCTACACAAATAAATGCACTGAGAGAGACATTCAACTTTAAGATCTTAAAAACTTTTGGAAACAATTTTAGTTCTTGGGTATAAAAAATTATTTTTTTTAAGATTTTGTGGGTATTTGTTAAATTTTTGAATTTTATGGTGGCCATTTTTCGTTTTTTGTTGCTTTCTTATAATTTTAGACTTAGAATTAGACTTAGAAGTATAAATATTTAATAAACTAAGTATTTATTTATAATAATTTTCTTTATTTTTCTTTCATATATTTTATCCAATATTTTTTTCACCCAACCACTATTTTCTTGTAACTAATTCTAGAATTTCAGGCTAATTCGGAAACCATTTTGAATTTTCATTTCTTAATATTATTTCCTTAAAAAGAAACTTCAAAAATCAGTCTAAAAAATTTAAAATTTTTTACAAGTTTCTTCAATTTTGTTCAGTGTTTATGAAGTTTTTTTTTGGGGCAGTCAGGTCAAGAAACACTGGGCAATTATTTGCATACAACACTTTGTAAGTAAAAGCAAGATGGCAATAAAATGTAAAGGTATTGGTGTTTTAGATACGAATGTGTGATGGTGTGGGTGAGTGTGTGAGTAGAAAGCGCGTGAAAATGTTGGCCAGAAGAAAAAAGAAAGCTAAAAGAAAAGAAGAAAAA